GGTGCGATTCTTGTTGTCCGAGCGCAATGACGGGTGTACTAGATACGTCGTGATACGAATTCGACGATAACGGTACAATATTAACGATTATTGTCCTAGCGCAATAGAATAGTAAGATGATATTCCAATAATAAACGGCGAGATCGTAGATATCGCAAAATTTCACTTGATATACGACTCGATATACGACGCTTTGTATTCATTTATCCCAATCGTCCTTAGGCACGCATCGATTCGTCGAAACTTTCGATTCGTCGCGACGTTCCCCTCAAAAGTTTTTGAGGATTTGTACATTTACGTGCTTCAATTCAATTCTTTTTTTAAATAAAACGCAAATGTCACGCGATTATTGGCGAAGATTGCTTATTAAATACTATTGCATTTGTTTAATATCCTTTAAGTAACTTCATGTACATATCATTTGGTACTAATCTCTCATATTTGATAATTTTCCTCCTTATTTCAGTGTTCAACAAGTATCTTTTACAACGTTTAATACTTATACAGGACAAAATCAGGAAAAGTTCTGTCTACTGGAACACTTCGTCATTCTCATTATCATTTGTTGCGGTTTCTACGAATTTTATTCAAAAAGAAATGAAATCTTCTTAACGAATTTATTTGCACGTCTTTCACCAATATTTTTCAGTACCGAGGCAAGAATTCCATCCGCTCTTCATTTGTCTTCCACACAGTTATTAATTTCACAAAATTTCAAGATAACATTACGGTAACCTATTTTTTTTCTATATAAATAAACAGGAATCTCCATGATAAATATCCAGGATTCACTGACAGAGTATATACTGTTTTGTTATTTCACTACATGTATGCATTAAAAGACTCTTTGGACGAACATAAAAGTGCAAAGAGCGTTATAACAAGTACGATATGTGTAGATAATAATAAAATAAAATACACCTGTTTCCTTCCGCAAACGTTCGCGCGCGTAGTTCACACGTTCATGACCCTTCTTTTTCCCCAGACATTGGCCAGGAAATGTAGGTCGCGCGACGACGAAGGAGCCCCTCGCCAACGTGTTACATAAATGCGCCTTAACCTCTGGTGTTGGGCGGCGGACGCGCGCCGTAAATACGGCCGCGGCTTCTCTCTCTCTCTCTCTCTTTCTCTCTCTTTCGAGTGTGTCCGTCCTGACACGGAGTGGTACTACTTGCAGCAGCAGCGCGCCAGTCATTAGTCAATACGCCGACATTAGTCGATACACACAGGGCGGCCGCTGGTCCGCGAGCAGCCGGCAGCAACCACGAGGCTGTGGAATAAGGTCGAAAACCCCTTCCATCGGACGGGCTTCCTGGAAACGGAACGATACTTGCTGGCAAACTTTTGAATTCTTGCCAACCTCCTCCATTGTTCTCATCGACTGATCGATACCATTTTATTGCCCGCGTGTGCAAATCTTCCACGCCGCTCGGCCATTTCCTTCTCTCGCTGCACCCCTCAGATATACATACGAACGCGATGGAGCTTCTTGATTTCCCTTTTTGGCCGATTTATTGCCGCCCGGTTGTTTCCTGGCTCGCTTTATGGAAGAAGGAGGGGAAAGAAAGAGGCGAGGGTAGAGTAGAGATTTGTTTCAGGGACTTTTTCTTCTTCAGATCTTCTTGTCTAGAAGAATTTGAATAAAGAGATAATTCGGGGGAATCTTCCCCTCTCGAAATGTCGTTTTCACGATGAGTTCACGTGATGACTAACGAATGTCTCCGCGAGTCTGGATTTCTGTGAACGTGAGTCGAGAAATTTTTAGGCAGCAATTTCGTTTCGTTTATTAAATATTATAATAAATATTCTACTTTCCTGTGAATGTTTGCGTTCTGAAATTTTTCAAAAATGCATGGACATTCACGGCGCAACGATAAGATTTCTTTTTATACGCTAGATGATTTTATTTTTGAAATTTTTAACAGCAGATGTGCCTCTTGCTCAGACGTTTGGAGTAATAAATGAATAAGTAAGAATTCAATAAATTAATCAATTAGTTTGATTTTAAAATTCAAGGAGAAGAATGACATTATGGTAAAGAAATTAAGGAGAATTTGAAAGAATATAGATGATTATACTTAATTTGAAATCTTTTCTTTTGAAGATTTTTCACATTCGTTGTTCCACATTAGAGTAGAGAATACTAAGCTCCAGTGAGGATAATTACAGAATTGACGATGGATTGGAGTAAGGTTATCAAAGGATGAGAATTGTATTATAATATTTCAAATCTATGTCAAAATCTATGTCAAGAGATTGTCAGTTAATGTAAAGTTATATGGAAAAAAAAAAATAAAATACGTATCTTTGTATGTTACATTTAATCTGTCTTCTACAATTTACACTATAAATACAATTTTGACAATAGTGAGTAATTTGAAAAACAAAAAGTTTTATTTCTAAAAATTCATAAATAATTGTTGAACGTGATTCCAATAATATTTATACACAATTAACATAATTACTTATCTTTTAGAGAAAAAAAAAAATATACTAAAATCTAAAACAATTATTTCAAAAGATACGTCAATTAAATAACTTTGCAAAATTTAACTTATAGAATATTATTAAACTTGTAAAATAGGAAAGTAAAATAGGAAAACAAATGCTACGTGTTTTGTATTTCTCCTTAATTTCTCTGTAATTAAAACATTTAGTTTTAATTCCAACCACTGCTAATGTTGTAATCTTATTCTTATATGCTGAATCGGTAACATTGAGAACGACGCAATGATAAGAAGGTTTCTTACCCTCGAGACAAAGAACGAAGAACTATACTGGCTATAAATCTATCATTGTCTATACTTACTCATACCTTATCTCTTTCCTTATCGAAATAATGCTTCCTCGCTCGATAAAATCTCCTTTCCGGCTCTTCCTTCGAAATACTTCCCCTGAATATCTTATCTATTTTTTAATACATTTCCTGATATTTGTTCTTCTCGTGAAATATCATACCGATAGATATATAATAAATTTTCACACACATCCCAATCTTTCGTTAAACCGTTTCATTTTATTGTTAGTCCATTTTTTTTTTCGTTATAAAAGAATTTAATTATTTCACTTGTAAGCGAAGAAACATATTTACGTGAACACCGGAAACTAAAGTGTGAAACTTCAGAAAATAAGAAAAAAATAACAAGCACAAACTTTTATTCGTATAATTTAGAAAAATATCATTCAGATCCCTAAAATTATGCCATTTCAGACCTGTCAAGTTTCTATGAAAAAAAAAAAAAAAAAATTACGAATTTCGATTATTTTGGTATCATCGCCAAGGGGTTAACAACACGCCGATGATATACAAGCTAATAGCTGCAGTAGGGAGTAGAAACAAAGAGGCGGCGGAGAAGCGAGACACGAAAGCATTGTTAGCTAAGAGACTTGGTAACAGAGTTAATGTCGCATTACGGCGTGGACTGCATAAGGGCGTGGATTGTGCGAAATCGTGGAAGCGTGAAAGTACAGTGAGAAGAAGAGGAATCTGTAATTGGTGATGATGGAAACCACCGAAGAAGCTAAAGTAAGAATAGGATTGGACGTTCGAGTTGAATTAACAGTCTCTCGCGTTGGGGACAAAGTTAAACGATTAACACGGCAATTAACACGGTAACGAGCGGTTGCTAAGGAGATGGTAAATAAGAATTCCATTTCGCACGAACGAATTGGCCGGATTGTTCTTTCGGGATAGCTGCCCTTAGATCTCGATTAGATAACGAGCACGATATTCCAGGCTTTCCAAATTTTCACCGTTGTTTCACGCGAGATTCGTGTGATTTTGATTTTATCGCGTCCACATGAATCGATGCAATCTCTGCGCTAGTAAGAAGCACAGTTTCCTTCGTATCGAGGCTTGTATCATTCCTCGACCAATAAATTCAGGAAATATAATCCGTGAATATTGTTCAAATATCGGCACGTAGATTGATTAACGATAAACGTTGCTCTCGATCTTCGTGTTAAGAGGATATTCGCGTGCTCGTTAGCTAATACGATACGAATCGTATTTAGTACCGGTTTGATCGATGAGTCGCAAGGAATAATCATGCAGGAAATAATAGTTTTGTTTGTTTGTTGATAACGACCTGTGTTATTTAATATAACTGATCGCGTGGAACGTGCAATTTTCGTGAGTAATTTTTTGTAATTAGTTTTCGATAAAGATGAAATTGTGGACAAGTGAAGAGGATGGACTGAAAGGTATTTATAATATTGCAGGTGACCGATTGAAATTGCTTTTGAATAGATAATATATAGTGATCTAATTCAATTTTTCACTTGAGTTATATTTTAATTATTATTTCTGAAATGTACTCTAAAAAGTATTTATTGGTACATTTGTTTGTGCCATCTACGTGTATAAATAATAATTGTATTTATATAAACAAAATATAACACACATAAAATAAGTATAGCATCAAAGACTACATGTGTAGAATAAATGCTTTCAATTATAATTATTGATGCAAAATCAGTATTTTATGTATCATTAATTGAACTGTTTTTTACAGAATAAATCCATGCACTAAATACAAATGATACTGAAAAAGGTGAAAGAACACTATACACGAGGCATTACCGGCTATTTACGAAACAAAATAAGAAAGCCAAAATTACATCTAAATTTTAAAAGATAAAAAATATCGTTCAACCACTTGTTAAAGAATCTACGTCCAATTACCACATATTTAACTATTATATTATAAGTAGAGAAACAAAAGCAAAAGAACATTTCGCAAGATAGAGACAGCTATTGGATCATGGATCCTCAAATGAGAAATACTCACGTATAATGATTAGAACAATCGTCATCTCAAAAAATATGTAAAGCAAAATCAACTTAGTCTTAGTCTAGTTTTAATACTGGAATTTAAGCTTCGTAATAAGAGAAATTTTTACAGATCAGTGACAGTACGTAGCTTGTATTCTTCGTATCATAAACTTTTTCTTACTTCCCGCGCTTCGATTTTTTAGAGTATAAAATTTGCATTTTGCAGAGTATAATTCGCACTTCGTAATCGTCGGTAATTCTAGCGTTAAAACACGTACGATATAATTCACCATTGTAGCAACTGTTTTTCGTGACATTGGAAGAAGAATACCACACTATGTCAGTCCATATCAGTATCGACTACCGTCGAGAGAATCGCGCGGAAATTCCCACACGACACGAACGATACGTAGAAGGGCGGTACCAGACACGAACTCGTGGCACTGGGTGTTCATTCCTTACACCACTTAGAAACCCTTTCAGTCTGCCAGTACGACTATTGTAAAATACCGTCATCGCGTTATCTGTTCGTTTATCGTGTAATTTTGTCACTTTTCGTGTAATTTTTCCGCTGTTTAATTCGTTCGACAATATGTTCGTGCAAGCTCCTGTCTTGTTGACTCAACAAAAGTCAGAGAACTCTGAGGAAGGCAGTGACGAAGAAGGAACCGGTGATGTCCTCCAGGTTGATCGTTCTTTTACCTCTTGATTGTTGTATTAATATCTCTATTTTTTTAATTTAATT